GGAAGAAAGCACTTTCAGGTCCTGGTCTATTTGGGGTAGTGATTCAACAGGCTGCTGTCCTATTACAGAACACAGTAGAAGCGCTGAAACAGCTGGAACCAACGGGAAAGTCAGTCTTAATTAAAGGAATGAATGGGCTTGTATGGAGGAATCAGAGCATTCACTGACCCCGCCACAGCTGTGACTGACAAGGGCATATCATCCAGGGCAAGCAGGGTGAGGCACTCACCTTCTTATCCATACTGGCCAAATTTAGGCGAGGCCTGTAGGACTAAACACCACTCCATGGCAGAGAGCCTTCCCCACAGCAAGGCTTTGTCCGTGGAGCTCAGCTTTGCTGTCAGTTCTGTCACCCCTCCCCGTTTCCCAGGATCGTTGCTCCACGCAGGGTCCTCCCCATTTCAGACCCTGGGCATCTCCTGGTCCATCAGCTGTTGTCTGTACTGTGGTGTTACAGTGAGTCCTCATACCACAGGGTAAGTGGTATGGCCACCACTGTGGTAGGTCCCACGCAGACACACAAAAATGTGCTTTCTCCCCTGGATGATCAGCCCCAATAGCAAAAGAGTCAGCTCCACAGGGAGACAGGAGATGAGAGCAGTCTGGTCCATGATTAATTTATATCCTTAAAAGTCTGAAATGCTCCAAAAGACATTAGTATTCCTCATGTAAGAAAGCTGTCCAGATTTTCAACATATCCCTGCCTTATTCCCACATCTACTGGAATTAATAGCTGAAGGCTTGCAAAGCCCAAAAGGCAAACACAGGACTGCATTTAATCTAATGCAGAGGCTGAGATCATAGTTTGGGAGTCTAAGTGTTGTCAGAAGCAGAGACAGCCCAAATTCTCATTTATATTAAGACACTTTTATAATACCCTGAAAGCATAAATGCACCTCAGAGTGCGTGCAGGGCCAACACTGGTGGACTCTTTGCATTGTGGAAACATTGGTGTGAAGGGCCCTTCAGAGAAATGAAGACAAGTGAAAATGAAAATCCTATTCTTTACATCTAACCCCAGTAGAGATGACACAACCTAAGAGCTTTGTAATGTAAATTAGACTCCAGACAGTTCGCTTTGTGTGTGTGTGTGTGTAGATCAGTGCAAAAGAAAGTTGTGGGTGCACTTGAAGGAGGATGAAGAATCCACCCAAATGTTTTAAAAGCAGGAATCAGCTCACACTTGTTTTTTTCACACTGCTTAGTAGTTCAGCTATTGCACCCAGACATTACTCCATTTCTCTGTTGAAGGAGTTGCTATGTCTAAGTTGGTGAGGGATCCTTTGGAAGGAATAAGTGCCACCTCCTGCTTCCCATATTTAACTTTTCACTGGGGAAGCTCTGGTGTCAATTTTACCCAAAGAAGGGCTGGGGTAACAAGGACAAACATATGGGAGATTCCCCCTGCCAGCCCTGGCTGTGACCAACTCTGCTCCCAGTGTCCAGCTCATCCCCCTGCACTGTCTTCAAACAAGGCATGTGTTAACAGGGCACTGAAATAGGAAAGTGCTTGTTAGAGACTGCATGAGATACTCCATGGCCAGCTCTTTTAATTCTAACCCTGAAAAAAATCTGCTGAATAGGCTGAGGAAGCCATCATATACCATGGCAGAGCTGGCATAGGAAAAACACATGCGTTTTTTTTTAGATTGGTTAGATGATAATCTCTCTCTCCAGCAGCACATTTCAGTCAGACTATCAAATCCCTCACCCTATCCTACAGATGCGCAGAACTTGGTAGCTAAAAAAGAGGAGGTGGAGACCCAGAATTTTGTTACTGTAAAATTAAATTCTGGGAGCCACACTTATTTTAAAAATCAGGCAAGAAACGTAATGCCTGGCTTCAGTTATGTTGTTTGCTAACTTACTTGTAGCTACTTGTTTCAAGATACACAGGCTAGTAGTCATGGAAGTCTATATACTTATAGTGCCTTGCTCTCTTCAATTGGCAATAATGCTTCTAAAGCAACTTTTCTTTTTTCTTTTTTTTTTTTTTTTTTAAATTTTCCCGAGGCAAACTGTAAGTGTAGGGCTTCAAGGACTGTTATACCTTCTTATTAGGAGATTTATCTTCCAGGTAAAAGAACCTCAATTCCTTCCTGGTGCAGTTCAAGTCAGTTAGCACAGGGTTTACAAGAATGCCTTAACTCCAAGGTATCAGGGAGGATCGAGGCATCAGCAAAGAAAGAGATTTGATTTAACATGCAATAGGAGGTCCCCAGTTTAAAGAAAGAACTAGGAGACCCGCTGCAAAATGACAGAATTTAGTAGGGTAATAGATAGTTTATTGGTTAACATAATTTCAAACTGGAGAGAATAGACCAGTGGTATCTGTATTATTATTATTATTATTATTATTATTATTATTATTATTATTATTATTATTATTATTATTATCATCATCATCATCATCATCATCATCATCATCATCATCATCATCATCATCATCATCATCATCATCATCATCATAGGTGTTTTTGTTGTCATAAGCTTTTATTATTTCATTGATTTTAAATCTTCTGGTCTGTGGTATATTCACTGTCTTTTGCCACACTCTCTTGTCTTCACTTTGAAGAGGAGTGTGAAGAAGGCAGGGCTCCTGCAAGGGGGGAACTCCAAACGTGCCTGTTAACAAGATGTTGTCGTATTTCCTTCCTATCACTTTCAGTGGGATTTCCAAGGAGTTTGGGTATTCAAAACCCATGGTGAGCATTACATCTCCCCATTTAGAAACATTCTGACTTGTGACAGTATTTTGCTTAGTAATTTACAGAGGCCTAGTAGGTGACAGAAAAAACCATGTCATTAGCAACAGGGTTGGTGCACACGAGTCGAAGGTGTCCCGCGTGGCATCTCCCAAGGGGTGTCTGTGGCCAGGCAGGACGTGGCTGCGGGCAGGGTGGGGGGGCGTGGGGGGCGTGGGAAGCAAGCTGCACCTACGTGGATGGGCTGAGGGACGTCCACGTAGCTCAGTAGCAGTACACTCTAATTCACCTTTTTATTTTGTAACTTCTAAAGTATTGGTAAGTGGCTGTGGAAGTTGGTTGACCTAAGCTCTTAAACTCACTGAACTGTGCAGGACAGGGGCACATCATCACAGGGTGTAAATAAATGGCTCGTTCTTGTAAGACTATAACCTACCATAGACAACACATGCTGTATGAATTGGGTATCCAGACGAGTATGTATTTGCCAAAGCCACTTCCCACCACACAAAGACATGTGTCCTCAAACTTGCATAGATGAAAACAGAAAAACTGAACTAGTGCCATTCGTAAAAATATGCATTTTTATATATAAATATCCACTCAAAAAGGCTAGCTGCGATACCTGTGTATTTACTGCGAGCAGAAACATGAACACCATGCCCCAGACACTCTTGTGAAATAAATTTTGTCTTCAGTTTCAGTTTAATAGCTCAAGATCTTTCTGCCAGATGTATGAATGGCTTTGGGAGGAAAGGCACGGGAAGGAAAATGAAGATGTGATCAACCTAGGAAATGGTTCTTGGGAAACTTTCCAGCATCGTGAGCAAGCGAACACAAGAGAGCATTAGCACGGCGCACTGGCAGAAGAATGCTCCAACGGCTGGTTCACGGGACATACGCTTTGTTTCACTGAGGAACAGACATTTGTGGGATGAGAGAAAGCAAATGGATGTAACAGACTCAACCTTAAAAGTTTTTAGCAGAGGCTCATGAAATTGTACCAAAGAACGAATGGACACTGGTGGACGTACTAAGAGCTGTCAAGACCTGAAATAAATTGATGGACCACAGTCATAGCTAACTGACAGTGACAAGTGTTGCTTTGCACTGTTTGGACTGGAAATGACATCTTGAGAAATTAAACGGAGGCCAGCACACTCAGAATCACTGTTTTTCAGCTGTTCTAATAATCCCTTTCAAAAATACCCTTGCATGCTGTATTATGTGTCTCTATTTCTGAACTATAAGAAAACAGACAAAAGCATTGATTAAATGTGTGAACAATATTAAACTTGGAGGTGCTGTATACACCAAAAAGTGCAAAAGAAATGTACAAAAAGAACTAGGGAGGCTTGAAAAATGGCTTGGGAATAGCAATGAGATTTCAACATGAACAAAGAAAAGCTATTGTATCAAAGATGAAATGTAGAGTTAGAAGTTGTGATGCCAGAAACTCATGAAGATGTAGGCTTGGGAATAAAAGGGCGAAAGGTAATATCAGGACTATGTAAACAGGCATTTTACCATCATACACAGACGTGACAGCTTACACTGCTCTTTTTATGGCACCGGTAAGAATGCATCTAACATTAATTCTAAATCACAAGCACTCTGGTGTCAAAAAGGAGAGCAACGTTTTTGGAAAGTGAATTAGAATTGCGTGATTGGGAAGGCATTGCTCAAGAAAAGTCTGCTTGCAATGACTGCAGTTACAAAATAATGCTAGCAGGGACAGAAATCCCCGTCAAACAGAGATACGGTATTACCTCGGAGATTTACTGCAGGGCAAGGCTGGAGCACTGGGAATCCCTGGAAAAAAAAGGTGATACTTGAGGAGCAGATCAGGCTGTGAGGATCAGGATCATGGAAAGCATTTGTGGCTGTTGCAAGGGTAGTCCACTGGCACCAGGACCTAACACAGGTAGGCTAATGAATGAGAGCCACTGTTTACAATGAAGGTTAGCTGACACAGAAGGAGAGAAAAATCAAGGGAAAGGAAGATCCACTGTCCCTTTTACTCGGAGGCCTGAGGCTAAAAAGAACCTGAAAAGGAGGCGTTTGTGGTTGCATGAAGGGTCTAGACTGGAAACAATGACTGTACAGCATAATATGCAACTGAGACCTGGTACAAAACCACCAGTCAGGTCAGTCTTTCCACCACTTCCAGGAAACCCTGAAGTCATCAGAACTGCATTGACCTGGTTCAGGTAGCGGTCAGACCCTGAGGTCATTCTGCTTGCCCCAGCATTGCTCCAGAAAGCCCAATTTTCAAGACAAGCTGGTGCTCCTCACCTTACCACCTTGGTGCCGTTCCTCATGACCTGCATGTCCACCATGCAGCCGCCCGTGACGTAAGCAGCCAGGTTCAGCTCGGAGAACTCAGCCTGGAGCAGAGCAAAAGGACAGAGTGTTACTCGAGGGGAGCAGAGACACATGGACACAGATGCAGAATTGCCTTTGGATGAAATGTGCCTTTCCTTCTTTTTTTTTTTTTTCTTTTTTTTTTTTTTTTTTGGCTTTCCCCATGAGGCGATGGGAGATCCAATTACAGCTGATTTGCCCTGGAGAGACTGCAGTAGTATTTATGGCTCCCACACTTGGGGTGTACAAGTATACAGGATTAGGCTTATTGCAGTAATAAGTACTGACGGAATTAAGAATGAGCAAGCTGAAAAACACATACAGGAAAGAATAATAATAATAAAAAGAGGTAAGGTCATTTGAATTCAAATTCCAAGTTTCCACTTGGAAACAACCATTTAGAATTATGTCTGAGTTGGCTGTCGTACCACTGGCCAGCTATAAACTTAATACAAAAGATTCAAACCTCCCTAAATAGCTAAAAAGCCTCATTATGTGCAGGAAGGTGATAAGCAGAGAAACCAACCCACCGATGCAGTTTACTTATTAATATTTTAACCATTAAAGGTTAGCAAAGCTGGGTAGGCTATTAACAGTGTTGCTCAAAACACTTTATATTTTAAAAGAGGTGCGACTTACAAGGCTGGAAATGTTGGCAAGGTATAGTTAAGCTTTGGGGAGCAAAAGGCAATGTGCACGAGGGTGATTATGAGTGCAGTGGGTGTCGGTGAAGGTTAAGACACAAATCAGAGTGGTTAACTGGGCGAGAGCTGTGATAATCCTCCTGCGTGGCTGCTGGCTCTGCTGCCCCTCAGACAGTGGTGCCAGTGAGATGCCACGGGCTCAGGCCACCCTCAGTGGGAGGAGGATGGCAGGACTCGCTTATCACCTTGGGCTCCAAATCCTAACTCTGTTCTTTATGAGCAAATGAGTAGATCCTAAACTAGAACAGCATAATGTCGTGCCATGCAAGTCCTCCCTTGCAAACATACCTGTACAGATTCAGAATCCTATATTAAATTAGTGCCTGTGTATATAAAAATCAATACTAATAACAATAAAAATAATCAGGTTTCATTTTTTGAGACAGAAAATTTAGTCTTCTCCCTCTGAACAGCTTTTTTGCTTTTTTCTGTTAAGATGTTTCTTTCAGACTTGGTATGACGGAGACTGGGTAGCAGTAAAATCATCTTCTAACCAGCGGCTACCTAATATCAGGGCACTCAAATGGTGTTGCCAATTATTGTGATTTTACTGAGTTCCTTGTACTATTTAATGTTCTTCTGATACTTCTACTAGCTGGAACCAAAAGATAGTGCCAGGACCAACTTTTATACAGAAAAAAAGAAAATGAAAAAAAGTATGCTTTTTCCTCATGGAAAAAACTTGCCAATAGACAGCTAGTGCACCTGTAAAGGCTCAGAGGCCAGACGACAAATGAAAAAATCACTTCCAACTTTCTGTTTTTAAAATCCACATAATTTTAAAGCAATGAACGTGGACTGGTGACCCGGTGATGTAATGAGGTTTCATGTCTGCGGCCCTGTGTAAACTTTTCAAAGCAACACCCTTATATGATCTTACATCATTGTACCTCCCAATTACAATGAAAGGAGGGGGAAAATTCCTGTTGTCAAGAAATAAATCCTACTTCAGACATATACATTCACACACAGAGAGGGAATGGCAGTGGTTCAGGTGACTGGGCTTTTCTTGTGAAATTGCACAGTTTTGCCTTGGCCACAGCTACACTTCTTCAGTGATCATATGTTTCAGAGATAAGAAAATATGTACCTCTAAAAGGCACCTGCATTTTATACATTTTAAAAATCTTAACAGAGGTAGGGAGTGGGGGATACACCTTGAACAAATTCAGCAAGAGCAGCTGCTCTGGGTACAATCAGTGAGCTCCGTGGTGGGTCAAGGCAAGGTTGCTAACTTCCATGTGATCTTGAGAGGCTCTATGGACTGGGGAGATGAAAGGACAGTTTTCCCACCTCTGTGTCTACATATTCCTCAGAGATGTCCCAATCTGAAAGCAGGGTGTTACTGAGCTGGACCTTCAGTTTCTGCATCTGAGGGATACATCATCTGATGTGATCATCAGAGCAAGAGAGGAAAGCTTTTGGTCTGTGTTTTCATGGGTTTTATGCTTTTCTTCTGTAATTTCTTCCATAATGGTTTTGTACTAAAGAGCTTAAGACTTTGCTTTGCTGGGGGTGCAAATGGGCAATCTTCATTTGATGTCTGGCACTTGCAATCTAAGCGGGTCTGACAGGCATCACCTTGAAGCAGTCAGACCAAACAAAGCTGTGTTCAGACACCTGACATCCAAACAGGCCTGGGAATCCCCTGAGCTGGTAAGTACTTCATACCAAACTGCCAGGACCAATTTCAGGCCTGCTAATGTCAAGACCCAGAAGAAAGGGAGAAATCCTCTTTGGCAACCATTGTCCATGGCACCCTGGCAAGGAGGAAAGAGTGGGGAGAGGGTCTGGGAGACTCAGCTACCTTGCCCTCAAAACCTTCAGATATATAATCACAGCTGAGGGACAATCCTTACCTTTTCCTGGCATTTGCTCCCGCTCTAACCAACTAAGTTAAGGACCGCTGCTACTTTCATGTAGCTGCTTTGTCCCATCCAGCAGGCCACTGCTAGCTGGGATTTGGAAGAAGGCTGAAAACTTCAGTCAGCAGAAATTATTTCCTGTTGATTTTCCAGTGTTCCCTGTATTTTTAACTTTGTGGGTTTTGTAGCCTGATGACTTCCCTTGGCTGGGATTTCCAGTCTGAGATCATCTCCAGCTTGAGTTTACCTTGCAGACAAAGAGGTCTTTGAAAGCAGCCCATGCAGATAGAGTGACAGGTAACTATGCATAAAACAGGAGAGCACAACTTCCCATGGCCTTGCAGAGTCATTTGCATTAGGACTCATCAAAAGAAGGCGGCATTACAGTAGACTGATGGTGTTTTATACTTGCTTTGTAATGGTACCAGTGGCTGCAAAAACATTCAGGGCAAGAGTGAACCATGTGTGACAAACGTGACACAATCTGTCTTGAAGAATAATGTAATACAGACTGTGGGAGTAGAAATATTTTGTACATCTTTGGGTCCCAGATCTGGGAGGATGCCCACAGGTATTTTAAGGATAGTTCTGTTAAAAATGCCTATTTCAGATATTCAGATTCAGAAATCTCTTCAGATCATTTGGACTAAACCTTAAGCTACTCTCAGTTTCCCCCATCAGTGTTCTCTAGGTGCTGGAGATCTGTTTGGAGAGCTATTTTAGGGCTTCTTTTTCTGTTTGCTGATAATGAAATAAAGAAGGATTCTGCCATTTAAAATCATGTGATAGAAATGCCTGGCTTGCTAGTTATACCTACTGATTCATGGGAAGCAGATGCTCAAGGTGGATTTTAAGCATTTTTCATAGAATAACAGAAAGTTGAGTTGGAAGGACTTCAAGACATCACACAGTGTGTCTCTTTTTCCTAAGGCAGGATCAGATCTACCTCTGCTGTTGTATGTAGATATTACATAACCTTCTTTTATCTTCTACAGATGAGGAACCTCCTCAGGCAATCTGTGCCTTAACAACCTTGGAAAGTTTTCACAATGGCCAATCTAAATCTCTCCCCTTACTTTTTAAGACTAATTTTTTTGTTTATTACTTCCTCCTGCAGAACCTGAATACTTGCTGCTTGAAGATTTACCCTTCCTTCTTCCTTTTTTTCCTAAGACAAAAACAACCTCATTCTTGTAAGATTTTCTTGTAGGTGATTGTTTTTCAGCACAGTGATCAGTGTTGTTGCTGTCACTGGGATCCTCTCTGAAAGGTCCACAACTTCCTTGAGCTGTAATGGCCCAAACTCACCATGATCCTTCAGCAGAGCCCTGACTATTGCTGAGTAAGATGTAAGGCCACTAGCATCTAATGCACTAGCACTTACATCGCGTGTAATACTGCTGTCCATATGTCCCCGCATGGATTTGTCTATGTGCAGCAATGTGACTATTTTTTAATTAATATTCTGGCTGAGATCCACTGTAATCCTTGCATTGCTTTGTCTAGACTACTGACTTGTCCTCAGTTCCCCATCTTGTGCATCTGACATTGATGACTGATGCACAAGGGGGAGATTTGTCTATAAAACCTGGTAGGAGGTAGTAAAGAAGATGGAACCATACTGTTCTTAGTGGTGCTCAGGTTAAGGACAAGGGGCAATGGGCACAAAATGAAATACGCTAAATTCCATGTAAACACAAGAAAACTCCAGTTTTGTTGCAATGATAGTCAAACACTGGAATGGGTTGCCCAGAGAGGCTGTGGAGTCTCCATCCCTGGAGACACTAAAACATTTATTGGCCACGGTCCTGGGCGGCCTGCTCTAGGTGACCTTGCTCAGAGACAAGACATTGGACTATGAGATATCCAGATGTGCCTTCCAGCCTCAGCCATCTTGTGATAAGTTTGGTATCTGGCAGATATTCTTATTAAACTTCTCCCTGTGTGTCAAAGGGAATCCCAGGAAAGCATCCCAGTTTGCTCCTTGAGCAGATGCTGAGGGCCAAGTCATCTTTGTTGTGGCACAGGAATGCAGGAATAGGGATGCAAGACAGGTTTTTGGATTTGTGTTTTGGGGGATAGTGGCTATTATTTATTTATTTTTTTTTTTTTTTTTAAAGCAAGCAGGCTTAGTCTGTCAATGCAGCGATAAGCACATTGGGGTTTTTTAGCTGCTGAAATTTCTAAGCCCTCATCTGTACATAACCTAACTAAAAGCTCCTCAGGTTGGTTATTGCTGAAAAGGGAGACGCAACGTTATATTAGACTTCTGTGTGAATATTTACATGTGCACCCCCATTTGCATATATACCTCACATACACAGAAATAGCAGGGGGTGTTAGCACGGCCAGGAACTTTCCTCAGTGCAACATGCCATATGCTACAACACGCACACTGGCTTTTTTGGGGATTGTTCCATCACATAAATCACAGCGCTGAGCTGCCGCTACAGT